AGGAACAACGAGGTTCCGGACACTTTCTGCCAGAGAGAATCCATTAGGCCAGAAAGTTCCGGACAGGTCCTGCTACGCAGAGGACATCCAGTAGGCAGATAGAGAAACGACACTCCAGGCTCCTTCGGCCTGGGAACCCATAGGCCATCAGCAAACCCAAGCAGGCAGCCTTTAAAGGCGTTTTGAAAGACAGAAAGAAGATGAATATGGCTGGTGGCCTCCTTTTTGGCAGCATTCAAAGCTTTTCGTTCCTGCTTATGAGTCACGCGATCCACCAAGGAGTTCTCCATATGATCAGAGGAGGGCGAAAGCACAACAACGTCGAGCCACGAACAGAAAGAAGATGAACATGGCCCATCCGCAAGGACACAATGCTAGAACTCCAGAAGACTACTGTGGCGATGGTTTGGAAACCTAGACCAGGCTCCAGCAGACTTTGCGAAGACACATCACAGTTCCTGTGCAGTACAGAGAGTCTGCATGGCTTGATCTGCTGTATTCAGAAACGCTGGAGTCACCTCTGGAAAAATTTCCCTGTCTTTGTACGATCTCTGTTTTGGTTACCTCCATAAAGCTGCATAGTCTGGCCGACGAGTTTGCAAAACCAAAAGGGAAACGTTGAAGCCACGTCGGTCAACTTCCCAGAGCTTGAACTACGACTCCCATCCACAGAAAGAACACCAAAAATCCGCGCGGGTCAACTGGCGAGCCCGCTGCACTGCCAGGACGAAGCCCACGTTATGGGGCTGTCGGGCGACCCCATTTCCAGGCCCGCAAAACACAAGCAATTCTGGCTTCGCCAGGTCGGCCCTCCACAGTTGCATTCCGCTGGCTGCAGCAGCAGCAGCAGCAACAAGGGCAAGCACACAGCTGCTTTGGACAAGCCCCGACCTTCCAAACGGTCCTCCACCAGACGTTCCCCAAACTTACCTCATGACATGCGCAGCCGACGAGATTCAGCCGCTGTGGGTGCAGGGATCAAACTTGCGACCCCAAAAATGGGGCCGTCTCGCGGCCCCAGAAAAGGAGCCGCGAAATGCAGCCAACCTCCTCTAATATATTTGACTGGGAACTATAGAGGACCCAAAATTGGGGCCGCGTGGCGGCCCCCATTTTGGGGTCGCGAATTCCTTCATTCTGGGGCCCAAGCCCAAGCCCAAGCCCCTGCATTCCAGACTGCTACACACCGAGGCGACCCGCTCACGGCAGGCATCCAGTGTGAAAAAGACTCTCCAAGAACCAGAAATTTCCACAGACACGTGCTTGTGGAAGTGATTAACATGAGAGAAGCGCGCACAGAGGGGGGCCACTCAAGCGAAGCTAAAATTGCTCAGACTATTCGACCCCACATTTGGAGCCGCCTGCGCTGACCACTTTCACAAAGGCCTTCGAGGCTCACTTGCGGGCGCTTGAGGCCTGCTGAGGCCATAGAGGTGGATTTTTGACAGCAACATGCACCTCGAGTCTGCAAGTTCCAAAAGAGACAAGCAACCATGAAGCAATCCCAGACTCCGATTACATGATGGAACTGACTTAAAGAGCAACAGATTTGACGGAGATGAAGATGCAACCCCGTTTTGCAATGGGGGGGTCCCGCAGTTAAGTGCATTTCTCAAAATCCGTAGCATCCGCCGACCTTCTCGATACAGAGGGGGAACCACCATGTGTCCCCAGAAACTACGCATTGGGAGGGTAGCTGGAACAAGACCAGATTTTAAGCCACTGACCTCCGAACGGACAAGAACCTGACCATCAGAAACGGTTGTACTGCTGTGACACCGGCACGCCGACAAGGCCACCGCGGCACATCCCCCTCCCCCAAATCTCAATGTTTGGAGCAGCACGGCCACAAAGCCCTGCGCAAGCAGACGACACGCACCTCCGAGCAGACGACATCATTGAAATGGAGGGGGGGGGGTCCGTACATGCAACACAACAGTCTATGACGTCGCGTCTGTGAACCCTGCCAACCCCTACCGTCTGGAGGAAGCTCTCGCATCCCCAGCAAGCCTACTGTCCGACTGGAAACATGCGGAGTTGGAAACTCATCTTGTCACTCACACGGAGCAGAAGAGGCTGCGAGCATCGCGACGTCATGGCCTAACAGATTCCTCTGGCAGAAAGTGTCCGGAACCTCGTTTTTCCATATGGCCTAATGGATTCCCTCTGGCAGAAAGTGTCCGGACCCTCGTTTTTCCATATGGCCTAATGGATTCCCTCTGGCAGAAAGTGTCCGGAACCTCGTTTTTCCATATGGCCCAATGGGTTCCTGTGTCAGAAAGTGTCCGGAACCTCGTTTTTTCATATGGCCTAATGGATTCCTTATGACCTATCCTATGGCCTAACCTATGGCCTAATACACCTTCCCTATGACCTAATCATTTCCGTGTGGGAAAAGAAAAGATTGTATTCCTAAAACGCGAAAATGATTAGGTCATAGGGAAGGTGTATTAGGCCATAGGTTAGGCCATAGGATAGGTCATAAGGAATCCATTAGGCCATATAAAAAAACGAGGTTCCGGGCACTTTCTGCCACAGGAATCAATTAGGCCATATGGAAAAACGAGGTTCCTGACACTTTCTGCCAGAGGGAATCCATTAGGCCATATGGAAAAACGAAGTTCCGGACACTTTCTGCCATAGGGAATCCATTAGGCCATATGGAAAAACAAGGTTCGGGACACTTTCTGCCGGAGGGAACCCATTAGGCCATATGGAAAAACGAGGTTCCTGATTTTTTCTGCCACAGGGAATCGATTAGGCCATATAAGGAACAACGAGGTTCCGGACACTTTCTGCCAGAGAGAATCCATTAGGCCAGAAAGTTCCGGACAGGTCCTGCTACGCAGAGGACATCCAGTAGGCAGATAGAGAAACGACACTCCAGGCTCCTTCGGCCTGGGAACGCATAGGCCATCAGCAAACCCAAGCAGGCAGCCTTTAAAGGCGTTTTGAAAGACAGAAAGAAGATGAATATGGCTGGTGGCCTCCTTTTTGGCAGCATTCAAAGCTTTTCGTTCCTGCTTATGAGTCGCTCCACGCGATCCACCAAGGAATTCTCCATATGATCAGAGGAGGGCGAAAGCACAACAACGTCGAGCCACGAACAGAAAGAAGATGAACATGGCCCATCCGCAAGGACACAATGCTAGAACTCCAGAAGACTACTGTGGCGATGGTTTGGAAACCTAGACCAGGCTCCAGCAGACTTTGCGAAGACACATCACAGTTCCTGTGCAGTACACAAAGCCCAAAAAAGTGCTGCGCAAGGACATCGGTGAAAACTGCGATTGTGTGGTCTGGGACTGTAATGCACCGACAGGAATAGCTTGCCTCTTGCTGCCTCCAAGGGACTGAATGGCAACTGTCAATACAGTCTTCAAACTAAATGATCCACAGTGCTTGAAACATGCATCCAGGGATGGTCCAAGCCTCGCGCAACCGCAGAACGACACTTCTAGTAGTGATGACATCTCGGCTGTCCAAGACCTCTCCCAAAGACCAAGAAGCACATGCCCAACACGTGTCATGTCACGATGTCGACGAACCAACGACATGTGAGACAAGGGGCAAATCCATGACCATCATGTCGTACTGCCCCTCAGTTCCAACCCATCCTGAAGCTCGCAGAGCTCAAACGCTTTGCGACTCAGACCGAAAGGCGGAGAAAAGGGCCCATAACAGCCGAGGCGCTGATGAGAGGCCACTGAGGGTCCTGCGGACGGGTCTGGGCGCGAGGCGGAGAGGTTTGCAGGAGTCCATTCAGCAACAGATCAGTCACCAGAACAGACTTATATTGTAGTGTGTTGTAAGATTTGGGGCGAGCAAAATTTGCCACCAGCGAGCCTCACGGCTGTGGAGACCGAGAGATTTGTAGAACTTGGCCTCTTCCAACCTGGGTTCAGTTTACAATTGGGCTTAGCCAACTCATGGACATGCTCCGGTTGCTGAGCACGTTGAGCATACTTGTGTTCCGGAGTCCCCTTTTCATTTCACATTGCATGCAAAGGGCCTCAAACTCTGACGATTTCCCGGTTCAGGACATGCCGGTAGGGGCCCACGAACAATGGGTCGGCCTTTGGACTTTTGAAAAACCTGGACCAGTGCGGCAAACAACCGCTTTGAGCTGAGGCCGGAGCGCGGACGGACTGTGCACCGGGGGGAGACGGAGACAAAACGCGAGTACGGCCTTCCCAAGCTTTGCAGCTTTTCAGCAGGCCGCCAATTTCCCCTGCGCCTTGAGGGACACACATTGAGTACGCAGCCCCCGCAATGCCTGCTCCGCTCCTGCCACGGGTTCAGGACAAAACAGGGCAAAGGATTGTACATTGGTTCGACTCTCCCTTTTGGTGCGTACCCGATGGATGAATTGGGCGACAGCGTCACGGCAAAGTCGCCCAAGCCACGGGAGCCTCAGGGCAGAACTGATGCCAAGGCTATAGGATACGAGGCTCACATGCCTATCAAACTACATTTGTAAGTGACTGTCACGACACTGCTTGTTGTGAGTAGGACTTCAATCATTTTCCAATCATACACATGGAAGCTTCCGGCCAATAGTCACAAGGACAGGGAAAACAATCCATGCCAGCCTCAGAACGGCAACGTGCTCACCATCGGAATCATATCAGAATAAATTACTATTTACCAAATGGTCGTAGCAAGAGCAGTAGCAGTGTAGTAGTAGTCGTCCGAATCGTAATTAGCAGTTGTCGTCGTCCTAGTGGTGGCGTCGTCGTCCTAATGGTCCTAATGGCGGTAACAGCGGCAGTACGCAAATACTACGCAGCAGTAGGAAGAGGGAGGAGGAGCTGGCTTCAAATTCCAATTTCACAAGGCCACACCATGTGCTAGAACAACTGAGGTTGCCCCCACAAGCAGGAATTGACACAATCTTGGCCACAGGCACGAAACGAAGGCAGCTCGGAGCCTTTTCAAATACATACTCAGCAGTCGGTATCTTCGAAGAATTCAGATTGGTCTGCAAAACATCGCTAATCCTACAAGCTCCGCCTGTAAACATCGTAAGATCCGCCAGTGATGAAGAAGGTGGATGGCTTGAGCCTCGCATCGGCCGTATCCTGCGAAAGTGACAAGGCGACGATGAAGACAGACACTAAACTCACTAAACTCCCAAACACTCGCCTCTTTCTGAAACCAACCAGCCGGGTCCTTGACGCCTTTGTACTTGTCGTTGGCAAATCGCGCCACTGTCAGGAAACTGGAACACTGGGCAAAGTAGGCAGAGCCGAAATAGACGATGCCACCACTATCCCCAGAAGGGGATCGTATGAGGTCACACTCCTTGAGATTGAGGCATTATCTGTCTGCTCACCACCAGATGACTAAAATGCTGGATCTCCCCGTTGCAATTTCAATTCTCTTGCGCACCTGGTTCTTCTTTGCGCAGCAAGGCAATTCGGAAAAGACATTCAAGCTTGTCTCGCATTCTGAAGGCCTCTAGGCACGGCTGACTGCCCGTCAAGAAGTCTCAGTGCGAGCAGCAAGCGCAGTTCGAACGATCATCACCTCGATTTTTTTCTTGTGGCTGCACGATGGCACTGATTGGGGGGTTTTGCTTGCCCTTTAGCCACCGCCGTCCTGGTATTTTGGAGTTGCATCATCGGAGGGTTCAACCACCACGCGCTTGCAGCGCAAAGGTCTTGTGCGCGATTAAGTTCCAAACCATGCCCTGTGGAGGAGGCAAGTTGGGATGGATGTAACCAGCCTCTAAGGCTTCTGTCAAGCCTTCGGGGACTCCGTAGGTGTTGCCGGATGTCCGGTGGTTGCGACGACGTTGCTCGGCGGTCGTCCTTGGCAGCCGACCCTCTGCAATCATGATTGCCAACCTTGCCGCGACCTGAGGTGGAGTAGCTGGCGCGGTGACCTCCGGTGGAGTTGCTGGCGGGGTGGTGTCGCCTGAAAAACCTGACCCCAGCAAATGCTCCAGGCCGCGTGAAGCCGCCTTTACCCCGAAAAGGTCTTCCAATTGTTGATCTACACCTGTTGCTATCTCATCTGCCGCGGGTCTCTTCCTCGAGCCGCGGCCTCGCCCCCTTGAGCGGCCACCTGCTGCAGTCCCATCTGCCGCGGCCCTTTTTCTGGATCCACGGCCCCTGGAGCGGCCCCGGGCCGGTGATTCGCGAGCACCGCTAGTGCGCTTTGCGCCCTTGGGCCGGCCCCGAGGGCGCCCCGTTGGTGTGGAGCGTTGGTGTGGAGCGCGGGACTAGGGAGGAGAAGGCTTCTGGCAGCGTGGCACCGAAGTTTGTTTTAGAGACATGTAGAAAATGCTCCGTCATGCCACGTTGCCAATAATCCTGATGGGACTCCAGCAGCCTACCCTCCTCTTCATACAGTGCCGTGAATTTCTCATAGGTGGCACTGACCCGCCGTGGGTGGAAGCCATTTTCATCCAAGGCCCCAATTCTCTGGAATGCTGCGTCCACTTGTGCCGAACATGTCGACCGCACCAGATCGGACAAGGCTTCCATTTCCACGGCGTTGAAGTCCGAGGGACCATATTTGCAGAACACCTGGGTGGCATTTTCTTGCCCGGTGTTGAACTGCAGCATCAAGGGTGCTTCCTGCGCAAGCAGTCGCTCCAACGTCCTGCAGCTCATACGCCCCACTTGCTTGTCCTCCTTCCAATTCAGGCGGGGGCTCAACTTCGTGGATGCTTCCCCGACCAACGAGGGGGTTACCAACGTCGATGGTGCAACACACAAGGCACTCCACTTCCCATCATTCTGGAAAACTCGGCCCGTGTGTTCATAACGCTCCATAACCTGCCTCAGCGGCAAAGTCTTCTCCTCCGGGACATAGTGATCCAGCAACTTCCAAAAGGAGTCCACCGCATTCAACGAATAGGAACCATAGCCGGGGTCGAGGACTGCCGCACGCCAGGCGGCCGTCCATACACCTGCATCCTTCTGGAAATGCTCCGTCTGCAGGTATGCCACGAAGTCCGACTCGCCGGCATCTTCCAGGAGTTGGAAGCAGTGGTCCCAGTATCGATCGAACACGTGATCGTTGCGCATGAAAGCGCTTTTCGACACCCACCTTTTCGTAGAGGCCCACCAAGAGCTTTGTGTCAGCTTTTTCACGCCCTGGTCCCGGATGTTGCGCTTGACATGCTCAAGGCTTCGGACCATTCCGCAAGCCATCAGGGACATGCTCCCGCACGTGTGCATCTACGCTCTCAAGAAGCATGCGAACCGCCACGTGATTTTCGCTCGGCGATAAAGCGAAAGCAAGCAATACAAATGTAGTTTCGACGGTGTCACGGGGCACATGCTGCGCCAACCAACCAACAGCAATCAGTTTGATGCCACTGTTGGAGATGGCGTGCGTACCATCGCATGCCACCCGTAACCCATGCTCCATCAATGTCTCCCAATGCTCCATCAGGAGGCTTACATAAAAGTCCGTGGTAAAGCAAAAAATACCGGCACTGTCGTCCACCTCGAGCACCCGACAATGCCAGGGTTCCGTGGCTTGCCTGTCCTTGATCGATTGCACGTAGGCAAGAACTTCGGGGATCTTATCCTCCACCCGCGCAGGCCTTGTGTATTGCTTGCGTGTCTGGACTTGTTGGCAGTTGGCGTGTGGGGAGCTTACCGTCAGGATGCGCGATGGACCACTCGACCAACGCAGCGCCTGCCCGCTCCGGTTGGGAAGCAATGTTTCGGATGTCTGCACGCACATCCGCCGCATGCTGGTGTTCATTTTTCGCCTCCCGCACCAGCTTCCCATTCTCCGAGCCATATTGCACCACCATTGGGCACCCGTCGCTGCATCGGCAATAGACATATGTGCGGCCCGGCCGCTTTACCTGGCAACGCTTTCTGGACCCCCACTCTGCGTCAATGGCGTCCGACACCTTGCGCCCACCCAAGTCTTCTTTCCTTCCGTGCCACACATTGCCAAACTTGTCTCGCCTGCACCGACATGCTATGCTGCATTAGTCTAGCGCGGCAGAACACTTCCAAAGTTCTCAATGCACACGCCGGCCTCTCGTATCGGTTTTCCTCTTCGTTTGTAAGGTCGAACGGTACCACTGCCGGCTGCAACTTCCACATTCCACCTGGGTATATGCTGTAACATTCGTGACATGAACGCCCTTCTGTCCGAAACAGCATTATGCCAACATTGCCAAAGGCACTTCGCGTGTATAGCACGACGAGAACCGGACGCTATTTTTCCTGGAACCCAGGCTGTTTGAGCCTCTTTCTGACGACAGCAAAACCAATAACGCTCGTATCCAGCGCCAGGGCTCCGGAACGTGTGCAGAGTGCAGAAGCACAACTGCATTCGCTCGGTGGTGTGTGCTATACGAATAGCTCTCAAGGGACAGCGCTGCACCTTACACAAAACAGCCGAACCAAAGTCCCGCGGCGCTAAGGTGCATAAATACAAACACGGTCGCCAGGTCGCTAGCGTTCGCAATGCTAAGATGGCGCCAGCACAGACGTGCAACCTTAAAAACACAGCTCATGGAAACCTGCGCGACGCTAGAAAACAATCGTCGGTCGAATTTCGGCCGTGTTCGGCACACACATGTGTATGCGGAATCGAAGCAAACACATGCCGTGTGCACCAGCACAAACGCATTCGCCAAGTCGCTGGCGCTCGCGAGGCTCACAGCTGGAGGCACAGTGGCGCAACTTAAAAAAGTAGCTCACGGAATGTGGCGGCGAAGGTAACCAATCATGGATCGGGTGTCGTGTGTGTTCGCGGCACACACATGTGCATGCGGAATCGAAGCAGACACACGCGCTGTGCACCAGCACAAACGCATTCGCCAAGTCGCTGGCGTTCGCGATGCTAACAGCTGGAGGCACAGTGGCACAACTTAAAAAAAGTAGCTCACGGAATGTGGCGGCGAAGGTAACCAATCATCGATCGGGTGTCGTGTGTGTTCGCGGCACACACATGTGTATGCCGAATCGAAGCAAACACACGCGGTGTGCACCAGCACAAACGCATTCGCCAAGTCGCTGGTGCTCGCGAGGCTAACAGCTCGCAGGCACAGCGGCGCAACTTAAAAAAAGTAGCTCACGGAAAGTTGCGTGGTCCCTGCCTGAAATCAGGCTGGGGGCCGAGCATATCCCGGCGCTGTTCCTACGCGAGCGGCGTGTGCCACGCCGCTCGCGGCATGGGCACTACAGTTGAAGTGTGGGCATGCCGCTCGCGGCACGGGCGCTACAGTTGCAGTGTGGGTACGCCGCTCGCGACATGGGCATGCCGCTCGCGGAGGTGGTACTCCAATCGACGGCGCCGGTACTACAATCTCCCAACGGAGGTACTACAATCGCGGCGAAATAGCAGTTACTGCTATCGCGATCGCCGCGCTCACAGCAGTCGTATTACAGTTGCGGCGTCGGTCCCACAGTCTCGGCGTTGGAACTACAAATCGCGGCATTCGTCTTACAGTCGCGGCGCCCAGTGTTGGCAGCCCGCTCGCGGTATTTGTACTACAATTTTAAAGTTGCTACGCCTGTAGGCAGCCAAATCTAGTAACGTTTTTTTTTCGAACCTTGGGCGTTTTGGCCGTGCCGTAAGGCATGGCCTGAAATCGAAATTTTGGGCGATTTGGCATGTGGCTTTCCACTGAAATATCAACTGCTCCGGTGTTTTCGAGTGTTGCATACATCCTAAAAGCAGGGCCATTCCCTGCCCGGCTCAGGCCCCCGGCCTGCGCGAAGCGTCACGGGAGGCAAGGGGTTTCTGATGACCCCCTTTTCAACCCCTGAGACCGTCGTGTGAGCGAATAACAACACAGGAACATGTGCATCGCACGAGCAGTGGCTAGTAGCACTTGTCCTTTTTATGCTTTACGTACACACATGTGTATGTCGGAGGCAGTACTTGGCTGGACCCGCGTCACACGCTGGCCACCAAACGCTTTTTTTTTTTTTTTTTCCTCGGACCTTTTTGCAAGTCTCCCGGCGCGGTCCCAGTGCAGCAAGCTACCGGAACCAACCAAAAGTCCAGAACCAACCAAACCCCCAACCTCCTAAGAACGAAGCGAAGCTCACCCCATGCGGGAGGTGACAGGAGGCGCCTCCGACGAGTCGGCAAGGACATCGCTCAAGAGAGGAGCCTCGCCATCGAGATTGGCAGTGTTGGAAATCGGGAGGGACAGCAGGCTGGCAGCGAAGGACCGTGCAGCAGCGATGGAGAGAAGCCCAGACCATCGTGCGACAAAGGCGGCGACACACGCTGCGCGCTGGGACGCGGCGGCACTGCGTGCTCGCGCCCGCGCGAGCAACCGAAGGAAGTCGGCAGCTTCGGCACTCCAGCGACCACCAACTTCAAGACCGAGGACAACCAGGCGACACCGACGGGCGTCGGCGAACTCAGGGTAGGTGGCCAAGGCCGCCCCGGCAGTGCTGCCGCGCCGGCGCCGGGGCGCACCAGCAGAAGTAAGTGGCGAGACGAGCGTAGTGTCAACGGCAAGCTGCGAGCCTCCCCACAACGGCAGCCCATTGGCGATCACCTCGATGCGGCGCTCATCATGCCTGGATGCCTGCAGGTTCAGGTCTCGAACTAAGACGTGTGTGGCGACTGCAGCACCGGCCTCACGGCAGACCCGAGCCGCTGCACGTTCGAGCGGTCCACCTCGTGCCCTGAGAACGCCAGACCGAGGACAGGCAGCGATGTGGTCACCCAGGGCATCCTGCGGACGCCCACAGCGGCACAAGTGGCAAAGGGAGCCGCAAGCGACGGAGGAGCAGGACCCGGAAGAGCGCAGAGTCGAGGGCGAGCTCAGGAGCAACAGGTCGGACAGTGAGCAACCTGGCGGCGAAGGGGCCGGATTGTGAGTCGAGGAGTGCGAGTTCAGCAGGCCCGACGGCGCGGCGGTGCGCGACCGAGGCATGATCGTCGAGGGCGCGGGATGCAGAGCGCTGCCAGCCGCGGTAGGGGACATCAGGCTCGGCATCGTCAGCGGCGGGCGCCGGGCCAGGCTGGGGCAAGTCGGCCCACCGTGGGACCGCAAAGCCAGCCTCAGCAAGGGCGTCGGAAGCTTGAACGCTTGCCAAAGCTTGCCTGCGAATCCCAGTCGAGGATGTGTCAAGCGCGGCTAAATCTAGTCACGCATTTTTTTCGAACTTTGGGCGTTTCTTGGTCGTGCCCTAAGGAATGGCCTCGACTCGGAATTTTGTGCTTGTTGGCATATGGTTTTACAATGAAATACAAACTTGTCGGCGTTTCTGGGTGGTTGCATACATCCTAAACCCAAAAACCCCAAGGCAACACTTGAGCATTTCATCCGTCCAAAAGAAAAATCAAAAAATTGGCGAGAGTTCTGTTTATTCAGGAGTGCCTCCACAGCCATTGCTGGAGCACACGCACACAACCTCCGCCAGCATGGTAGTTGACGTGCCCGGCTCCGCCCCCTACCCGTTCCAGTAGGAGGTCGGCCACGGGACACGTCGCCATGCAGGCGGAGGTTGTTGTGCATGTTTGCTCCAGCAATGGACAGGGAGGTCCCCCGGGGATTTAACCTCCACCCGGGCTCGAGGGCCACGAGTTAACGTCGCGGGGCGTCCGACGACCTACTGCGTGTCACCACGCAATAGGCAAGCGTGATGGGACCTGCAAGCAGTGATGCTGGGCGGCAAGCGGGCACCCAGCGTGTACTTGCAGGCTCCCTTTTACGTCCGCGCTCCGCCGGACAGTCGCCCCTGCCTAGTTCAAGGCTGGGGCCGAGCATGAAGTTTAGAGTCCGCGCTCCCCGGACTTTGCAACGCGCAGAACAAAGCTTGCAATACATGCCATAGGACTGACTGCCGTCGCGGCATTGGCACAAGAATCGGAACACAGATGTGTGTTCCGACAACACACATGTGTGTCGCGCAAACACACATGTGTGTTCCGAGAACACACATGTGTGTTCGGGGAGCACGCATGTGTGTTTTCAATAACACCCATGTGTGTTCCGAATAATTACAATAATACAGCGGAAACACACATGTGTGTTCCAAACGCACATGTGCATATGAGAAACGCATAACGGCGGGCCAGAAACGAGGCATCGAAGGAGCTCCCGAAACTGGTCGATTTCTAAATAGGCCGCTAATACAAAAATTCAATTTTGCATTCCCGGCTGGGCAGTCCCAGAACCTTCATATGTGCTTTCCCACGCCGCAGACGCGTGCCTGCGTGCGTGCGGGTCAGCACCGGGTCGCCTTCAGAAGACTTATACGCCAGCCCCCTTTTCCACAGCCGTGAGGACCGTAGCGCCCATGTCGTACCGGGTACCGGAAAAGTTGTCCCGTGGACCAGCAGTGGTACTTGATAAATTCATTATATACCCTAAACCTCAAGTTTTGAGGATACATGATAACGGCGGGCACGCGGCTGGCGGCTTCGATGGCGGGCACCCTTTTACGTCCGCGTCCGCACTGCCGTCGCGGCATAGGTACTACTTGGAAGGACAGGGGACTTAGTAAGTAAGTAGGCTATAAGTAGAGTAGAGTTATAAGTACCCTAAATAGAGTTATCCCAATTATAACTTTACTCATAACCTACTTACTAAGTCCCTTGCCCTTCCAAGTATAGTCGTGCGGTGGTATACGGGGGGCAGCGGAGGCGACCTACGTGGCGGGTTTATACGACTTGGGGTTGATAAACTCGTGCGTCCTCGCGCGTTCCGCATCCCTGGTGCTCCTCGCGTCGCGCATTCCACGTACCACGTGCCTGCGCGTCAATCCGTCCGTGTCAAACATCCCGCGTCCTTCGTTCCCGCATCGCACATCAGGCATCCCACGTCCCGTCCGCGTCCCGGCGTGCCTCCGCGTGCCACATCCCGCACCCCACGTCCCTGCGTCACGCATGCCTCCGCGTCACTCGTTCCCGCGTCCCGCGTCAAACATCTCGCGTCCCTCGTTCCCGCGTCGCAAATCGTGCAGCCCCCCGTCCGCGTCCCGGCGTGCCTTCTCCCGCGCCCCACGTCCCTGCGTCACGCGCCGCACCGTCCCTTTCGGCGCCGAACAAAATACGTGCTGAAGCCACGGTTTAGGATAGGTATGTGCGACAATGCAAACGTTGAAAGCATGGCAGCACGAGACAGGCA